TGATGATGAAGACGATGATGATGATGATGATGAATATGAATTAGAAGATGAAGCCCCCAAAAATAAACAAAATGTCAAAAAAATCCAAACTATTAAAAAATTAGATAACATTAGATTACCAAGAAATAGATTAACTAGTGGTGTTTTATACCCTGGAATGGGAAGACTTGGTATGTATGGTGGAATGGATATTCCTCTTGGAAGAGGAATGCAATATGGACGTCATCACATTTTCCCAGGAATGGGATATGGATATTTCCCCAATGGATATCCATTAGGATATAATTACCCAAGTTATGGATATCATCAAAGATTTGCTCGTTACAGTCAATTCATGAACTATGATCCAATGAACAGTCCATACTATTAAAACAATAATTTATGTTCAAGTAATATTTTTGTTATTCTATGAAAGTTAGAACAAGTATTAAAAAATTAAGAAATAAAATAAAAGCATAGAATAAAAAACTAGAAAATTAAAAAGAAAAAGAAAAACTTAAAAAGAAAATGAACCCGGAACAAGTCGCACTTCAACAATTCCAACAATTAAAACAAGACCAAAATATGTTGGCTAGACAACTTGCTGATATGGACTCAACACTAAAAGAACATAAACTTGTATTAGATGTTTTAAGTAAAGTTGAACCATCAAGAAAATGTTTCAGATTAGTCAATGGGGTAATGGTAGAAAGAACAGCATCAGAAGTTATTCCAGCAATTAACAAATCGATTGAACAAGTTTGTTATTATTTATTAACATTTACTATTTTAAATTAGAATTAATTTATATATAAAAAATAAAATAATTAATGAACAAATAGATTCAAAAATTAATGAAAGAGTTAAATGATAATATTGCTTCAAAAACTTCTGAAATTAATAAGTTTATGGAACACTATAAAATTCAACAAAGGGACCAGCCAATTGTTGCTTAAGCATAATTGATTTCTCTTTAATGTTGATTCAATCTCTTCTTTTTTGATTTATTTTGTTTAAAATAACAAAAACGAATATATTGTTTTTAATAACCTTATTTTTAATATAAATTAGAAGAAATATCTTAAAGTCTGTTTCAATGTTTAAAGTTCCTTTTTCTGTGGAATAATTCCTTCTTCAAAAATATCTAAAACATCTTCCATTGCATCAGTTAAATCAAAAGAATCATCGTATTGATAATTTGGACTTTCATTCTTAAAATTAAATTTCATTCCATTATAATGATAAAATACTACTTTTGGAAATCCTTTACTTTTTACTTCTTCTGACTCACCGAATGTTTCAGTGAAAATAGGATCAGAATCGTCAGCAACAACTACAACAAATTTTGAAGTTCTTTTCATATAACCTTCATCATGATTAAAATCTAATACTTTTCTAATAGCATCATCAATAACGTTTGACTGTAAATAAATTACCATGATTGGCATTTCTCGTCTTTTTGCTTCAAGTAATCCATTTTCCCAATCACGAACATTAAGTCCTTTATAATCCATAGAACTCCACATACTTGAACGGGCAAATGCAAGTGCCAAAAGTAAACAAAATGATAACATGGTTTAATGAAAATAAGATGGTGAAGTTTGCCATATCATCATTGTGTGTAATGTTTCATATTTTTTTGATAATTAAAAAAAAAACAAAAAACAAAACTGTTATTTGAATAACACAAATAATGAACAATACAAACACATCTTTCAGTAAAGAAGAATTTGAACGAGCAAGGGGAAGAAGAGAAGCATTTTCAAAATTAGAATATAACCAAAAAGATGAAACAAGGAAATTAGTAGAACAATTTTTAATTATTGGATCAAATAGTTCAGAAGATAGTGAAGCAGAAATTCTTTATAGATATCCAGACATTGATATTGAAAACTTTGAATATAAAATTATTTCATTATATTGTTTTCCTGAAGGATGTAAAACACAAAAAAAAGAAGCAACTTCAACTGAAGATTTAATTCAAATAGAAAAGAGCATTAAAGAAGGATGTGTTAATGTAAGTAACTTTTTTAGTTTAAAAATGGCAAGTCCAAAAAATGGTGTTGAAAGAAATGGATTATGTTTTTCAATAAAACGAATTGAAATTGATAAACAAAAACCATTAATATATTATGAAGATGAAATTATTTATATGATAGTTAGTACAAGTTCATGTTATCTTCTTTTAATAGAATTTATAGAAGCATTAATAATGAATGAAAGAGATATAAATTGGTTTAAAACAAATACTATAACAAAAAAAACATTTGAAAGTTATTTTAAACAATTTTTTAATTTACCTGAAAATTATCAACAAACAGTGAAATTATCATGGTGTAAAAATTTACTTGAAAATATTGAATGTCCTTTAGGATGTTGTTTATTTATTAGAGTTATTCCAGTTGAAGATTTAATAATTTTATTATCTGCATTAGTTTTACAAAGAAAATTATTAATTAAAAGTAAGAATAGATGTATTTTAAGTGGTGCAATATCTTTTTTTACTCAAGCAATTAAACCTTTTAGTTATGATTCACCTATAATTAGTGTATTAATAAATGACCTTTTTGATTTAATTGATTCTCCAACTCCTTTATTAATTGGATGTAGTTCTTTACCAAATGAAATTCCTGAAAATTCTATTTTATATGATATTGATGATAAATTTATGCAAAAATTCACTGATGATTTTATTCTTCTTCCAAATGCTAATGAAATTGCTTCTTCTATTGACAGTATTAGAAAACCATTAAAAAATTGTAAAAATCATCCAACTCATCTTTGTTTAAAAGAACATAGTCAATATATTCAATGGGCATTACAAAAAATTCAAATTGAATTTAGATTAATGGTAGATAATTTCGATGATTATATTGAAACTTTAAAAGAACCAGGAAAACCACAAATTAGTTTATTTAGAAAAAAAGATTTTATTGAAGAAGCTGAACCAAAATATCTTCCTTTTTTAAAAGAATTTTGTGAAACTCAAATGTTTGAATCATTTATTAATGAAAAATTAGATGCATATGATTATGGTAAATAATACTTAACTCTAATTTTGTTTTTTTAGAGAATTTTGATAAAACAATTTATTATTCAGTTAGTAATAGACTTTTTGTTTTAATTAATTTTCTATTTATATATTATCTTATTCAAATTTTTTTTTTTCATTTTAATTGAATTTATTAATTGATTTCTTCATTTAATAAAAATAAAATAATATACTTTAATTAATATTTTAAATCATTTTCATTTAAAATATTCATTCATTAACTTTATTTACTTTATTGTATCAATAATTTGGATTGTTTCGTTTTATATAAATAAATTGTTCTTATTTATGAAATTAAATATTTAAAAGCAACGTCCAAGTCTTTTAATTAAACACTTTGATTATATATAAATTAAGATAATTTTTCTTTAATAAAATCAAAAAACATCTATTACTATACAAAAAAATATCGCTCAGATTTAAACTGGTTTATGATGTCTTCATACAATTTATTTTAAATTTACATTTAAGATAAATTTGCAGAAGCAGGACTGAATCATCATTGCACATTAAAATAAGAAAATTTTTTCAAATAGTTTAATGATTAAATAATAAAATAGAATTGTGGTTGAATAAAATGAAATTATTAAAAACTATTAAAATTATTATTTCTTATCTAGGAATAGAAATAAAAGAAGAAGGAACTTCATCATACTTATCTTCAGTTAAAGAATGAAAGAGAGGAGCTGATAATTGATTTTTAATTACCTCAACTTGATTTTGTTGGTTTTTTAATTTTAAAGGTGGAAGAATAATAAAGTCAATTGGTGTTTTTCTTTCTTTTTGAAATTTATATTCATCCATAGCCACATGATACATAGGACAAGCTTGTAATGAGTTTTTTAAAGTTTTTAATCTAATAAGACTCGATAAGTATTGTTGTTGTAATTTACTAGTATTTAATTTGAGTTGTTCTAATTGTTTAACCATTTTATTTATTGTGTGTTTATTCTTTAAAAGAACACTAAAAAAACTTTTTGATTTTTGTGTTTTTTTTTTATTCAATGAATTTGTATTTGGTTTTTGTTTGTTATCTTCTTCTCTATCTTTTGAAGATTCTAAAACAAATGGATGATTTCCTGAAAAGGTATTTGGCTCAATAACCATTACATTATTATGCTGTGTAAATGCTGATATTGAACATAAAACAGTCTCTTCTTTTGGTGGTAATAAGTTCATAAAATTTAATTTTATACGTTTAATGAGATCATCCTTCCCTTTTTTATTTAAAGGATCTTTCTTTTTTACTATTTCTCTGATTCTTCTTAATGTCAAGAAAAAAGTAACTGTAAATGATTTTAAAGAATAGAAACCAATTTCTTAGTTCTTCTTAATTAAAAAACTACAAAGTAAAAAATATTAAAAAAAATAAATAAAAATAATATTAAAAATCTAAATAAATTATTAGTTTATGTTAGAATAAGTAAATAATAAAATATAGTATTTTATTAATAAATTATTTAGATTAATAATTTTTTCTTTTATTTAATATTTAAAATGTAATAAATATAAATATTTAAATGAA